AAGGCAGCTATTGAGTCAGCCTTTTACGACCGGAAGAACATTTCCAGAATTAAAGACAAATGTTTAAGCAGAAAAACTAATTTATGCATCTTTATTAGAATTAATTACTGCAACAGTATCTTCATACGTTTACCTAAAAAGTCCATCAGAAAGCTGCAGCTGATCCAAAGCGCTGCTGCTCATGTTCTCACTAGAACTAAGAAAGGAGAACACATCAGCATGGTTATGAAGTCATTCCAAAGGCTCCCTGTTGCTCAGAGACTATACTTTAAAATCCAAATCCCAATCTGTTTGTCTATAACTCACTGAATGGCACCTATGTATACCTTACAGATTTGTTATCAGTGTATCAACCTTCCAGACCACTCAGGGATTCTAGATCCAGTCTTCTCTGCACACCCAGAACTAGAACCAAACATGGAGAAGCAGCATTCAGTTGCTATGCTCCACTGATCTGGAACAAACATCCAGAAGACTCTAAAAGCGCTGAAAGCCTGCATTCTTTTCTCAAAGTTAAAATCCCTTTTGTTTAGAGCTGCCTTTGAGTTAAACTGTTAACTACAGGTAGGTACAATTAGTTAAAGGTTGGGGTCCGACTGTTTTATTTGTTTTACCAGATGCTTTCATCATGCTTTTATCTGTACTTGCTTTTATTTTTCTTCTATTTTATAGTTTAAATCATGTATCTCACTTTAAATGGTCTTTTTACTGAATTGTGCTATATAAATAGACCTGCCTTGCCTACATGAAATTAGACAGAGAGGAATATTTGCTGGAGACAATGTTAGGCTTTGAAAGCTAATAAGGTAACACCTGACCAGTATGAGGATGAAAGAATCTGCATGAAGGGCTGATACAATGCCAGTGGTGCTGATAATTTCATTAAAGTGGATCAATGAATGCTTCAGACAACAAATTCCACTTTTCTCGCCATCAAAATTGAAATCTTAATGGTGGGTAGAAAATTACAGCTACCCATACAGATGAGCCAAAGGGTCTGGATAAATATTTTATTGCTAGACAAGTCAAAAATTGGGCTGTCCTACCACAATTAGAAGTGTGGTAGGACGGGTGGTATCTTTGCTTCTGTCACCTTGAACCCCAGTCAGCCTCTGCAGATGGCCGCTCACACTGAGCCTGGTTCTGCTGGAGTTTTCTTCCTGTTAAAGGGGAATTTTTCCTCTCCACTGTCGCTATACAAATGCTTAGTATGAGGGATTACCTTCAAGTCAGTAAGTCGATGCAATCAACTGATTTTCCTTAGATAGAAAACTTTGAATCAATTTGACTGTATGATCTAGTGAACAGTAAATTGCCTTGAGATGACACTTGTTGTGAATTGGCACTATATAAATAAACTGAATTGAAGTGGTGGTGGCATCACTACAATGAGATTTTTCCTCCGGTACTACAGCTGGATTGCATTAATTAATATGAGGACTACATCAATCTTTACCTCAAATAGCTAGATGATTATTGAAACCTGGAAACAGCAGAGTTCCTGCATGTCAATGATCCAAAACACATAATAAAACAGATTTAAAGTAAAGCAGAACTATATTAATCTTTTATTAAGCCAAGATTTCTATCCTGACAAAAATATATTGAACAGTATTAATACAGATTAGCTCTACCATTTAATCTAATGGGAAAAGTGTTTGGTTTAGCTGCAACTTGCCACAGGAAATCAAACCAAAAATTATTGGAGGACTTTATTTTTTGAACTACATATACCTACATTTCAACTATGTGTAGATAAAAATTGGAGCAGCACATCATCATGAAAACTATTGCAATATACCTATAGAATATTGCAACAATGTTAATCATAGATACGGTGAGGAAAATAATTATTTAAACACCCTGCTATTCTGCAGGTTATCCCACTTCAATCATGGAGGGTCTGAAATTGTTATAGTAGGTGCATTTGCTCTGTGAGAGACATATAAATAAAAAACAAAAATTACAATGTGATTATTTTTAACTGTTTATTTGTATGATACAGCTTCAAATAAGTATTTGAAAACCTGTCTATCAGCTAAAATTTTGACCCTCAAAGACCTGTTAGTCTGCCTTCAAAATGTCCACCTCCATTTATTATCCTAAATTAGATGCACCTGTTTGAGTTCGTTAGCTGTATAAAAACACCTGTCTACCTCATACAATCACAGCAGACATGCACCTATGACAATTTCATACCCCTCCATTATTTCTAGGTGAACTTGCAAACATAGCAGGACGTTAAAATACTTATTTTCCTCACTGCAGCATGAATTTAGTCTTTTCCATTATAGTTTTACCATTGTGGTCTGTGAGCTTTAGCATCTCAGACCCTAAAGCTGCACATACAATGCTGTAAGTCCAGCTGGTTACACTAAATGGATGGCATACAGGGTAAGAATCCACGACACTTGAAATATCCAAACACATTTCCCCTTTTGCAAATACTGACACTGCAATGATTGAGATTTGATACACTGTGCAGCTCTAATCAGGATCCGAATTGCATCCTTTGCCATCTAGAGTATTTTTATTTTTTTTTAATGTTTTTTATTTTTATTTTTAAGGAAAAGTCAGGCAAAACATTTTTCCATTTTCCATTTGATCTTTTCCTTCCTTTTATTCTTGCTTTGATACAGCACACGGTGATGTTTCGTCACAGCAAATCTGCTGCAGACTTAGTTTGAATGTAGGAAAATATATTTGTAACTAAAGGAAAAACAGAATCGATTATGGATAAAATACCAAGTGGAATGCACCATTTTTAATGGAAATATATGCGTTAAGAGTGTGATTGAGAGAATGAAAAAACAGGGCTAACAGCGGTCCGTCTGGGTATGAAAGACCACCCTAGCCATCATCTTCTGAAAGCCTGTTATTTGTCACAGCAGCGCTGAGAGCTGAGCACTAACATTAGCATGTTAACATAGCGATCTTCACAAGTTCAAGTTTACTTTGTAAATATGAACCCTGTTCACTATCATTATGTGCTGCAGTGTTGATTAGAGCTTTCAGTGACGCACACCTCTAACAGGAGCTCCTAGGAATACCCTTCTGTAGGGATTGGGTTTGCCACAAATTGTTTTTTTGCCCTAAATTGTTGATATTTGAAATAAAAAGTGATTAAATCATTATAATCTGCAAGACAAAGTAAAAAACATTCTTTGTTTTCTTTGCTTTTATTAAAAAACATATTGAAGGTCATGTGTGGGTAAAGCATTTTAAACATCCATTTGAACACATTGTTTACCTGAGCAATGTGTTTTTAGAAATAGATTAAAATTAAGCATTGGTTCTTCTACCAAAGGTGCAATCATGAGTTTAACATTTCTTTTAAAGACCAGACTCATTTAAATTTCTGTATGAGTATTTTTAACATTGACGAATCTGGTTTTTTTAATAAATAAAATGCTTTATCTAATCTTGACAAACTATTTTCATCGTTTGTTGTTCTTTTTGTAGCCGTTCTCTCACTATTGCTTCAAGAGAAAACAGATGCCTGTCTGGATCCTCAGGCATGGTAGACCTCACTGCTTCAGCCAGCTGGAACAGGTACTCTGTGTTTTTACCACTCGGACCAGTGGATTTCAGGATCTGACTGGCTATTTCCTCCAAGGGAGCAGGGCCGAGGTAGTTAGGGTTGTCCTCGTTGCCGATGTACAGCAACGTCGGGCTCGGCGAGTGGTTGGACTGAGGACGGGGGTAGAAGGTCACCGTGATGACCTGGTAGCCGCCTTTTTCGCGGTAGTCGAGGTAGCTTTTTACCTCCTGCTCTTGGCCTGTCGGTAGCTTGTAGGCGACGCCCCAAACGCACCCCTGCAGAAGAGGTTTCTCATAAAAACCTGACATATTGAGAAGCTGTTTAACATTTTAAGAGCTGCTTTTCACTCACCTCAGGATCTTTAACCAAAGTAACAACACGACCAGGCTGCAAAGAAAACAAAAAGAATCATAACTACAACCATTAACTACAGATACAACTCAATGTATAAAATAAAGCATATTTTTATCATTTTAAGTAATATCATTTAAAAGGCGAAACCTAATATATTATAGATTTATTATTACAAATAGTATAGCAATTTCAACTCAGGTTTCAGTTTGTTTTGATGATTGTGGCTGACAGGTTATTAAAAAAAAAAACATATTTTCTTAAAAAGCTTGTGTATTAAGATTAGGGCTGTAACTAATGATTATTTTGCAAATCAATTCATCTGTTTATTTTTCTGATTAATCGAATAGCCAAAGGTTCCTTAAAGAATACTTTTTGCAAAATTAAGCCACTTCAGGAGTGCAGGATAGAGCATACTGGTAGATGAAAAACATTATTTTTTTTTTTTTTTATTATGTTAACTGCAAATTTGTTATTTATTTGATACAATCTTGGTATAATTACCGCTCTAAGTGGGTTGCTCTGTCGGCTAAATACATGTCTTAGAGTCTCTATACTCTAACAATTAATCGATTACTAAATTAGTTGAGGATTATTTCAATAATCTATTAATCAAGATTAATCTGATTATATCAGCCTTAATTGAGATACAAATATGTGATGACCTACACTATGAGGAAAGCCTCAGAGGATCAACAGTATTGCATCAAAGTACTTTAATGGGGAGATGAGTGGAAGGAAAAAATGTTGTAGGGGAATGCACACAACCACCCCCCCAAAAAATAAGAGTACTGTTTATATGATTAAATAACATATTTTGTTCACATTTTATGCTGCATCTGCTTGTAGTGCAAATTTGAACAAAGAGAATGAATCCATAAGCTTAAAAAAACAGCTATGAAGGGTCCCCTAGACATCCACAGTGACCCTGCAGGTGTGTCAAAAGACGCAAGTCATGGTGAGCTGGTATTAGACTGGGTTAGGTAAGGACAAGTCAGCAGGTTATGTAAAATGCAGATAACATTCCTGTGATATGAGCTGTCATTTTTCTGGCCCTATTGATGCCCATAAACAGTCTAATATCCAGAGACCCATCTCATTAGACTGGAAGGGTGGAGAAGGTCTTTTATCTGCCTTCCAGCTGAGTTTGGCAGGGCTTCTTTTTTTCTCTTCAGCAGAAGAAAATGACCTGATCGTCATAAAGCACTTAACTAAGCATATAAGAAAACACACACACACACAAAAAATAATTATTAGCTTGTAAGAATCCTGTTGCATGTATCATTTTTGGTCCTGTTTAAGTGCCTAAAATGCTTTAAACTTTTACCAACATGCACACTGCTTTAATCTTTTTGTTTCCATCAATGACAGGTGTCTCCATAATGAGTTCACCAACAGCTGTTGCATCATAATCTGTGACCTGTCATATATTGCAACCCTATGGATCTTACATGTATTTCATCATAGATTACTAAACTTTAGGTTTAATTATAGGTTTTGTGATGCATGGGTCACAAAAAATGAAAGTTCACAGAATAAGGTACAAAACCATATGGAAATGTGCTTCAGAAAATGATGAAACCACGATAAAAAGTAAGAAGTAAAAAAAATATTATCAGAATTTCATACGAATCTCAGTTGTTAATGTGTTGAGTGAATAAATGCTTAATTAAGGTTTAGTTTCCAATTATTTGTGAAGTATTTTGGATATTTAGTTAGAACTGAAGATGGTTGGCGGGATAATCTCCAACTTCATCGTGGCTTTTTCCCTTTTTTCATGAACTATGACTGAAGTAGCCAAGATCACCCACCTTTCCCGGGACTCCGCGGTGGTCGGTGCTGCCCTGCCAGAACCGGCGGCTGAAGCCCTTTATGTAACCGACTCTCTTCTCCTCATATGGGAAGTCCACTTTCCAGATCAGGGACCCATAACCGAAGACCCACATGGTGACGCAAACAGGTAACTGCGCGTCAAAGTCAATTGGACGGACTGGTACCGGTTTAATTTAAACATCTACGGCTTACAACGACGGTCCAACCTTTATAAAAGCCGGCATGTTTACCTTCCGCTCAACTACAGTGTAACCCAGGAACCAACAGTCAAACTAACCAGATAAAGCAGCTAAATCTACTTCCGGTTTGTACCTTTCGCTATAAATGCAGCTTATAAAAAGATGTCGCTAATTGCTCTATATAAATTTAACCTAACATTGGGATGTTATTAAAAGCGTTGTTTTCTTTCTCCGGGATTAAACGTTTCACGCTCGCTCATCATTTATTGGTGATTTTTTTTTCGAGCGCTTAGCTTTTATTTTGAAGGGGGAAACTTTATCCCGGATGTCTTTAACCCTTTTAGTGTGGAACTAAAAAAACAACAAAAAAAAACACCATCTTAGCCACTGAAAAACAAAAAAAAGTTAACAGATTTTTAAAATTTATTTCAGTTTAATACTGGAAAAAAGTAAGAATTATGAGATTAAATTCAGAACACTGACCTTTTCCCCCATAATAAAGTGAAATAAAATTTAAACATCAGTTAACTTTTTTATTTTTTTGAGTGGCCCTAATCCCTTTCCGTACTTTTTTGCAGTAGGTCATTTAAAATTTTGTTTTAATAAAATGTAGCATCTCAGATGTTAAGTGTAAAAGGCCATGTGATGGATGTTTGAGAATCACATAGTTAAACTGAATATTAACATAAAAAAAAACTGTAGATTATCTAGGGGGAAAAAGTCAGATTTGGTCCTTTGGCTATGTATTCAATAAGAAAAATTTATTATAAAATGTTTATTGGCACCCATGGAGAAGCGATGTACATAATTCTTAATAATTGTTCTCAGGGATATTTGACTTTTCATCCTCCTCCATGCGTATGAGCAGGATCATTGTGTCCAGGTGTGTTAGTCACTTTAAAGGTTATTTTGAATTTCCTGTTGCTCTGTGTGTAGATATGAGATGGTCCAACCAGTTTTTTAAGAGCAAAACATCTGATTTCTTTGCAGAAGTGGCCTTAGGCAAGCACCACTGAGTCCGTTTATACTTTTTTTTTATATATCATTCATGTTTGTCTTTGCATTCTGCATTTAAAATAACATCTTTAGCCAGAAATGAATGAGCAAACTAAACTGAATATTACTAAATGCTTTTACACGACAATCATATATCTTGAGTCATTTTCAGTTAAATATCAAATAATTTGCTCTTTGAAAACAGTCTCAAAGTTTTCACACCCCTTTAACACTAAAGTTAATGAATATAATTAACTGATAAAAAATATTGTAAAAGCCTCTTACTTTTTTATTATGGGGACAAAATGCTTTTTAAGCAACCCAAAATGACTGAGAATAGCTTCAGATTGTATAATTTTTACATTTAAGTTATAACTGTCTGCCAGCTTGAGTAGTCTTAATATTTGTAAACTGTAGGGTAATAAAAAAAAAAGAAAGAAATGCAAATGTATTGGTCCAGCATACTAAATTGGATTTCATTGTCTATAGTCTTTTCCATATTTCATTTTTTTTATTTTTATGGATACATATTCACACATAAAATATAAGATGATGCACTGTATCAATGTGAAAATAACAGCAGCAGTGTTAATGTTCCTTTGGCAGACGTCCCATTAGAGTCTCCTTGACTCTTCTGCTTTTAACTGAGTGATAAACTTACAAACTGATGCAGAGATCAGAAATATTTTGGACCTTCATTTGGATGAACCTTTTCTTTACCAGCAGTAAACATCTGCAGTACTGCTTGAAGGATAACACACAGAGAGAGCTTTTTTTTTACCTGACAGCAGGGGGTGCTAAGTTTCTGTTTCCGACATGTCATGTGGTCTGCCAAATAAAATTCTGTTCATGCCTGCATGTGTGCACCGATTCAGAACCAAATCAAGTGAACAGCACCAGTCTGGCTTGTAAGAAAGGCTTCATGAATAGCGGCTCTGCTCATTCTACTGCTTCTGACACAGGACAGTCTGCAAACCTGTTTTTTTTTTTGTTGTTGTTTTTTTTCTTTCATGTAACCTGCCAGTGTTGGGTTGTGGCTCAAATCCCCAGCCAGACTGGAGGATGCTGCAATGGGAGATTTCTGCCTTACAGAAACACTTGTTCAAGCCTTTGAATGCAGAGCCGTAGAACACAAAGTGTCAGTTTTACAGAGACTGGCTATAAGCATGATGTTCTTACTGAAATGAGAGCAGTAAATGACTGGAAAAAATGTAAATCTAAATAAGTAATTTTTTTCTTAAAATTAGTACATTTTGTCTCGAATTGAGGAGGTAAGTGAGTCCTTTTGCCAATGGAACAAGAGGATTTACATTTAAAATAAGAAAAAATGATTGCATTTTCCTATTTCAAGTGCATATTATCTATTTATCCTATTTTAAGAGTAAAAGTACTCATTCTATTGGCAAATCATCCTATTTACCTACCTACTAAATAAACTTAATCTAAGGAATGGTGTCTTATTTCTAAATCATTTTTGCAGTTTGCACATGGGCTCTTTGGTTTTTCCTCCACTCTCTTAATCCTTCCACTGTTTTATCCTTTGTCTAAAATGTTCTCAAAACACTGTTTTTGAAAAAATACCTCTAAGTTCTCCAAAAATGAATGGCTAATATAGTTCCATGGTCGACAGGCTTTATGGATGGATGGTTGGATGGCAACAAATCCAGTAAAAACAGAGGAAAAACATAAAAAAAAGGAGGAATTACGGAAAACAAGAGGGGATGTAGGACACAATTAAATAGTTAAAATAGAAGCAGAGAAAGAAAAGAAGGTAGGACACTATAGAGGAGAGGGATAGAAAACAATACGACACCCATATACACTCGTTCAGTAGAGGGACCATCATAGGAAAGAATGGCAGAAGAAAGGACAGTAAGACAATGAAGGAATAAGAGGTAAACAAAGAAGGATGGACACGCAAGGAAAGAACAGGGAACACAATAAACAGAAAGTGACAAAAATAGCGGGAGAAAAGTAAGCCTTTAAGGAAATATACAGGAAGCGCAGATGAAAGGAGAAAGAATAGTCAAATACAAATACCATTACATGCTCTGTTTCAGTTTGCATTTTTTTTCAAAGACTATAGTAGGAAAGTAGCATAGTAGTAGAATAGTACCAATATGCTGTACAGATTACAGGCAATAAAACAAAAGTCAAAATACATAATGATATATAAAACAAAAAAAAATCAACATCTCAGATGGTGGCAAAAGCCGAGGAGAAGAGATGGGTTTTGAGAAGTTATTTAAAAGCCAACAGGGAAGCTGCTCGTCTGATGCCCAAAGACCAATAATGTTAATAATGTTCTACATTTTAGGAGCAGCAGCAAAGAAGACACAATCCCCCGAAGCTTCCATTTGGTGTCTGAGGAAGAGCATGGCCAACACCATGAAATAAAAGAACCTCAAATTAATCCTAAAATGTACGGGCAATACATTTATTTAAAGAATAAACACCATGATTTAATTTCTAGTTGCTGGGATTCTGTGTGTTTGTATTTGCAGCTTCCATCTGCAATGGTCAGCAAAGTGTCCATATTTAATTAGATTTATAGAGTTAAGGAGATGCAGCACTTCTATTTTTAACATTGTCTGTCCATTGCTGTAAAAAGGATCATAATACTATATTAATGCAACAGAGGGATGAACAAGGCCAAAGATGTAGGGTGGAAATGAAATTTTAAAAAATATTCTGCCATTTATATTTTCCTTATAAAGATATTTGTTCAGAAAGCCAACAATTTTAACAAGGTTGTCAATGCTTTTGAAAGATTATTTAAAGAAAGTTATTTGTCTAGTAATTTCATTCAAAAGGCAAAATATTTAAATTCAAGTTTTATTTATTGAAATGAGTCCAGATGTTTTTCATTTAGATTAATATTAACTTTTATGTTTAAAAAAAAACCGTTTTCCAGATGTGGCTTTTGATATACTTGTCTGTGCTATTTGTAATTATTCAAAACAATCTATGATGACTTACAAAAGCTTTATTTTGTTTTATGTTTTTTGGCCCTGTTACCTACCTATAAGTTCCTGTTTTATCAGATTCTCAGCAGTAACTGCAAACAACCCAGATAGTCAGAGAAAAGCAAACATTCTTGTTCCACATCACTTTTTGTGTCTGTTTTTTATGATGAAGAAAAATGTAGTTTGTTTTCTCTTGATCCTACTTTGGAATTAAACGGTAAATATTGTATCTTATGTTTAGAAGATGCCAAAGATGGTACAATAAATTGTAAGTGAAATCTAGGAGTGAGAAAATAGAGGAAAAAGAGTGTAACATCTTCTGATTTTTTTTTGTTCAGTTTAGTTTTGAGGTCTATAGATCATACAAATCTGATTTAAATCTGTTCTAATCCACTCTCTGCTCCAAACGTTATCTCATGAGTCACTATATCAATGCGAGAATCTAATAAAATAAGTCATTGTTCCAAAACAAATAAACACTGCAGAGACATTGTTGGGACTATTTTTCCTCCTTTTTGCTATAATTTCAGAATAATGCTATTATCTTCTGCTTCCTGGTTTCACATATGACTTTTCCATAAGGCTGCTTATTTATCAGGGTGTGGGCCATGATGAACATTGTCTGAAACAGTCTCTTTTTTTGCTTTTTGCCCACTTCCATGCACAAAGCATGCATTTGACTTATCACACCTAGTAAAGATAGCTCATCAGTGCAGACCTCACACAACAGCACCCAGAGGAGAAGGAGGAGGTAGAAGGAGGTGGTAGCCTGGTGCCTTAAAGTCTGCAGCCACCAGATTGGGGTGAGAGGATCAACAAAGCAGCAGACCGATGACAGTTAAAATAGATTTGTCTTCAGCTGTGATCACAGTTCTTCCCAGACCACATGGTTATTAGTGTATCCATGACAATGAGTGCCCTCCAACCTCAGCAAAGAAGTAATTGTAATTTACTGTTGTCATCGTTTATAATGGCGGCATCAGATCTGAAAATGTGCTTTTGTTCTAGAGGGCATGAACTGACAGCGCACATCGCTTTCAATTTGGACAAGATGACTTATTGAATAGAACGCCAGTGATGGGATGTAGAAGTGTGTTATTTGAAAAGTTTGTACACCCA